TCGCTCTGCAATTTTCTTTGTTCGTTAATAAATAAACCATGACTTATAAAAATATTTAAGTATATACTTAAGTCCTCGATTACTCGTGACATTAGTTGTATCTAAAGCATCTGGTCAACTTATCGGTCTTGCATTAAAATGGCTCGACGGCATACGGGGGCCTAAAAAGCATAGGTTTACAAACGATATTATCATACTAGGTGTGAAACCCAACAATAAGCACAATACATATGGTATATGTAAAGCTTGTGATGATGCCCTTGGACGAGAGGAAGCTTTGAATAACACAATAACAAATAAAAAAGATACTATTCGAAATCACCTAAAACAATGTAACCATTTTCTTACTAAACTAGGATCTCAAGAAGCTGTAGACACGTATTGTAATAAAACAGATAATGAAGCAGAACAGAATTCACGAAGTTCAAAAAAACGTCAAAATAGTGACACCTCAGGTAATTAGTAAATGAATGTCTGAAATTTATTATATAAATATTAATTGTTAAACAAAAAAAAAATAATAAAAAATAAAAAAATAGATAATGATACATACACAAGCGATATGACTTCCAACGTTTCCTCGGCAGCCACACCTACATCATCCAAGAAGCCTGGAAAAAAAAAAATATCCAATCCTAATTCTATATCTAATTATTTAACTAAAGATGTTACTACAAAAGAGAAACCAAAATTTGAACAATTGCTACTTCGTATGACAATATCAAACAGATGAGCATTTCACTGGATATCAAATCCAGAAACCAGAGAGCTGTTCAAGTTTTTAAATCCATCACTTACCCTTCCTAGTCGGCGTTCTTTATCTAATCGTATTCTTGAAAATGAAAGAAAAAACATTGTAATGTCACGCAAACAAAAATTAAAAGCAGATAAAATAGGTGTTACCTTGGCATTTGACGGGTAGAAAATATTTTAAAACAGCATATTTTTGGTTCGCTGTTTATTTTATCAACCGGAGAAATTCAAGTTTGGGAAGCTATCGATATTAGTTTAGAAAGGGAGCGAATGGTTGAAATTATTCCTAAAATTAAAAATATGATAAAAGATGCATCAAATCTTGGGGCTAAACTATCAGCAATTGTTTCTGATAGTGCACCGGCATATTCTGCTGCTAGGCAAATTAAATTTTTATTTTTAAATTTTTTTTTTAAATTTTTTTTTTTTTTAATATTAGGCCACACAAATTTAATAACTTGATTTTCATAACACGAAACTTTTAAATACAGTAGGCCCGGCCGGCCGGCCAGCTTTTTTTTTTAAAATATTTTTTTAAAAATTTCCTTAAAAACCCACCTGACTATTAAAACATATAAAATTTTTTTTTTACTTTTGACCCCAGTCATATTATAAAAATCAATTAATTAATATTGCATGGACTTATTTAATTTTTTTTAAATTGTTTTATTAAATAGACGTCGTCTGCGATTAAAATATCCAGGAATCATTTTTTTTGCCTTGTTTCGCTCACCAATGTAATCTCACCGTTGGTGAAATATTTAAGGAATCTAACAAATTTAAAACTACAATGAAACAAGCAATAAAAATTACTAGCTATTTCAATAATGCAGTCCATTCATATTTTATTGGAAAACTTCGTGATATACAAAAACGAATATATTCAAATTATATTACCTTAATTTGTCCAAACGATACCCGTTGGAATTCTTATTGCCATTGTTTTAAAAGTCTAATAAAATCTCGTCAAGCTTTAAGGGTTAGTATTTAGAATATATTAAATAAAAAAAATTTAATCTAAAATATTAGTTCTTAAAGACTTTAGCTACTATGTATGAATCACCTTTGGATGTTTCAACTTATAATTCTAATGATGAAGAACCAAACCAACTTTCAAACAACTTAGACGAACTTTACCTTTCACAAAATATAATGACGATTCTTCTCAATGACAATTTTTGGCAATTGATAACGCAGTTACATTCTTTGCTTCTTCCTTATTGTGGGGCTCTTAATAAACTTCAATCAGATACTGCTCATCTTCATGAGGTATTACAAGCTTTTGGCAGAATTTTGAAAATGTGGGAGGAATATTCAAATAGTGATCTAGCACAAAGTATGATTTTGCGGCTAGAAAAAAGGTGGAGACAGTGGGAGCAGCCATTATTATTGTTATCCTTCCTTTTAAATCCAAATATTCGTACTATATAGTTTAATAATAGTGAAATTTTAAATTACACTTATCTCGCTCAATTTATTACCTATTATTATAAAGCTTGGTTTGGACGTCCACCAACTTGCATTTTGCTTGAATTAGAAGAATATAGAAAAAAAAACTATCTCTTCGACTCTGCTACATATGATCAATTTGGAAAAAATGTATTAGGATTTTGGGAATTCGCTTCCAATTTAACTAAAGAATTAGGTCAATTAGCAATACGTTTATTCGGGATTTGTATCAACACAGCATCTGTAGAACGACTATAGAGTTCAATGGGGTTTCTTCACACTAACCGGCGCAATCGTCTCTCAGTAAGATATATATATTTTTTACAGCCTAATAAAATTTACTTACTATTTTTTAATAATATAC